TTCCCAGACATGCCAGCACTGCGCTACAAAGAGGCGTATGAACCTGCCATCATGTACCAGCACCTGTCTTTATGGGATGCTTTACCCTTCACTGAGGAAGTTTGTTTCACATGCATAATCTGTAATAGACAACTATTTGAATCTAAAACATATTGATTTTCTAGTTTGTGTAATTATTTACAACTTCTCTGCAGCCTTTTAGGTCCTCAAAGCCAAAAAACATGGAGAATCTACCTTCAAACAATGGGAACGGCCAGTCTTATGGCTACACTTTGTATGAGACAACCATAAGGAGAGGTGGAAAACTGAAGTCAGGTGACCATGTTCGAGACCGTGCCCTGGTGAGTTACTGGCATTAACCCATGATCTCTGTCACCTGTTTTCTACTTGATAAACTCTGGTTTTATAGCAACTAAAAGCAAAAGAAAAAGGAATAAAATGCTAGAGATTATTGGGATCTGTTTGTTGGAGAAACGTATCCAAGCTTGGCACAAATATTACATATAGTAAGAAGACAGAAACAGATGGAGGAGTTGTTTCACGAGCTCATGGCAGAGATAATGTTACTGTAAAAACCCTGGATGTAAAGAGCAAACTGCTCAGCTTTCGGAAACTGTCAGAATATTTCTGATGGCACAAGCTATCACTGAGTTTAGGTAATACAAAGCTTGTAAAAACTGTATCATCRGTGACAGATTTAAAATGGATTTCTATTGAAGTTCTAGTAGGTTTGTTTGTTGCTCCAGCTGTTATCAGCCATCTATTAGAACTGAAAATATTTGTGTAGTACACAATGTGAATGCACTGTTGCCTACTCCTCAGTAAGAAAAGTCACCATTGGCTGTCCTAAAAGCTGCTAAAAGTTGCAAGATGACATCATCATCATCTAATTTACCCTGCTAGACATTTGCCAATAATTATTATCTAGGCTGTAGGAGAGATGTATATCAACGTTAAAGAGATAAATAGTACAAAGACACTAAATGTCTTTACAACAGCAAATTAACTTGAAMTAATTTTATGATTTTAATGCTTAGATCCACATTACACAAAAAYGTTTTGTGAGAATATCCAATTTACYCAACAGGCTGATGTCACAGAGGATGGACGAGTTGAAGAATAACTGAGGCTGCGAGATTTATTCTAGTGAGAGTGTCAGAGAAAAAACTTTACAGGATAAATCACCATGTATCCTGCTTTGTAAACCAGGGTGGGAGCAGCGTACAGTGTGTAAAATTAAATGTTTTTAAAAATTTACTAACATTTTTCATTATTTAGCTCACTTTCTGAGTGTTAAAAATTTTCCACTAACATTTTATTTTTATTTAGCTCACTGATCTTACATTTAGTTACTTTTTACTAAACGTTAATATATTTAAATCTAAATGTAAAAGTTAAACCTTAATGTGGAAGTTCACATTTAGGTATTTTGGCCTAACATGGATCTCTTGTGTCTCTCTTGTGGGGCGGCTGGAGTGGTTAGGGGAGTCATCCTGGAACCAGAAGGTCACCGGTTCGATCCCCCGTCCAGCCGTCTCAGTCGTTGTGTCCTTGGGCAAGACACTTCACCCACCTTGCCTATTGATGGTGGTCAGAGGGTCCGGTGGCGCAGGTGCATGGCAGCCCCACCTCTGTCAGTGTGCTCCAGGGCATCTGTGGCTACAATGTAGCTTACCACCATCAGTGTGTGAATGGGAATGTCTGTAAGTGTAAAGCGCTTTGGGGTCCGGAGGGACWTGATAAAGCGCTTTTATAGGTTCAGCCAATTTAACATCTCGGCTCATGTTATGACATCATCATCCTGAGACAATAGCAACCGCTAGTGCTCCAGTGCAGCTAAAGCTTCCCTACAAGACATCAAACCTTGCAGTTATGGCTGGTGTCTGAGCTGCAATTCAAACTATGTCTGTGAATGGTGCTTTATAAATAAACTTTACTTACTTACAATGCTGTGTTCCAGTAGCAGCTGTGTGTTGTTCTGCCTGCAAGCCACCACAGCTGGGGTGTGTGAATTGTTAGACGTGATTTTCACGAATGATTCAAATCTTTTGAATGGCTCTTTACAACAAACGATAGGAGCTGAGTCATGGGCAGTAAAGATGTTTGTAGTTTTATTTGTTTTATTCCTTATATAATCTTTAGTTTTTGATCCTTAAATTGCTCTCGCTTTGCTATTTCATGGAAACCAGGCAGAGCCGTGGAGTACAGCAGCTCAAGGGGAAACAGGGAGGGGATTTCTGCTTGACAAACGTATGGCTCCACCCATTTTATGTGATGACATCATCACATACGGTGACAGGGTGACTTATTTGCTTATGTGATGATGTAACTCATTCAAAATCAAATGGCTATTTTAGACGGCTCTATGACACAAATGGCTCCCCAAGATCCAGATCTCTTCAAAGAGTTGTTTATTCCATTTCTACTTGTAGGTAACCAGGATAACCCGAAGCAGACTTTTAGTAAGATAAGTGTTTTTCCAATCAAGTGGAATGGATTCTTTCACCAAGCAATAGAAACAGCACTGGATGATTTAATGCCATTTTCTCCATTTTCTTCCTCTTATCTGGGGTCGAGTCGCAGGGGCAGCAGCCTAAGCAGAGAGACCCAGACTTCCCTCTCCCCAGCC